TTCATTCCGACCCCCAAAATCACCTGGTACTATCGTATTACGGGTTTCAAATTTATACGGTACGTTCAGGAATACGGCTGAAATTGGGGACCCCGCGAATACGGGCTAACACTGCGCCGCCCTCAGGACCAGCGGTCGGTCAAGTCCCCCTCGTTGGACGTGGACCACACCTCGCAGCAGTCCTCGCCCAGCGGTCAACAGAGCAATCTGGTCTTCTGTGTTATCATAGTTTTCCTATGTTCAACAGGCAATATCTTTGTATGTATATCGGCCGATACTTCATTTATTATAATTGTATAAATTTGGAATATATTTATTTACTTATTAATCTCCCCATGTTAATTGACGTTGATTCGTTATTAAAATTAATGCACTTTCAGTTCTTCTAATGCAAATCAAGCTTCACTGCCTTGATAATTGCTGGTTGTTGAAAATGTCCTGTTTAGGGCCTATTTGTTGGTTCTTTCCTCTGAAATTCTTTTGCTGCCGTGTGCGACGGATTGAGCTTTTTTAGTTGATCTTTCCTCACGTAACACCTGCTTTGCTAGCTATTTTGAGTGCATTCATCATTCTGTCCTAAGATACAACAAAGAGACTGCTGGCTCTTAGGTAAGGCTAGCATTTGATGGCAGCAAGATGCCACTTGCTGGTGGCAGGTAGGGCGTCCACAACATGGCCAGAAATCACGTGATATATTCGTTCCACCAAATCTTATACATGACCTAATCCACATCCCGTGACTTCTTCTACCCTGCAGCCATTTTTAGAGGGGGTTTTACTAATGGAGTCATCCGGGCAGTAAAACGGGGCGGGCTAAACCTACACTCCCATATGTTTGTGCGCAAAGTGATGCTTCCATACATTTGTACACAGACTTTCTACTGCCACGCGTCTGCTACATGCTTGTGAAGAAAATATCCTCTCCCCTCTTGTAAAAGTGGGCCAAGCCACTGAGTCACTGCTGTCATTGTCGGCGTGTCTGGAGCCTTCTGGCTGGTGCCCAGCACATAGTCTACTGACCTCCAATGTAAAGGGCCAATTAAAGCAAGATAACTTGCCAAAGCAAGGTAACAACTTTCCGAAACAAGATAATAAGAAACACACATCGCAAAGGGAAATGGAAACCAATGGGGCTTCATATTAATGGAAGTTGTTTTGAGTTAAATGCATGTGCTGGGAATATAATTCATATATTGGCATGATTTAAAGTAAGACACTCAAGACAAAGGAGGGTTTGAATATTTTGTAGGAGCATCAGTATATGCACAGTTAATTGGATGGAATGGGCTGGAAATATGTGGCTTTGTTTAATGCAGGAGGGTATCATTGTATAAGGTTCCAAATAAAAAAGAAAGTCCACGGAGTTTACTCACACATATTTTTTAATGTTGAAGCATAGGCCTATCTTCTTTGTGCCAGTTTCCTCATCAGTGAAGTTTACATTGATAGTTGATAGTTCAATGGTCCAGTCTTGACCAGATTCTGGGCATATGTACATGTATTTGTGTACATGTAGGAACTTGTGTTCAAGTACAGTAGCATGCCTCGTTTTTTGTTATTATTTTGGGTAGGCTTATCCATGATTTTTGTTTTAATAACTGGACCTCAGCTACAAGAGCTCTCCGGCAGATTCCAAAAAGCCCGTGTATTGGTCGTCAACCTGTGGATTTGTAGCGAAGTTAATCTATCATCGGATTCAAGCCGTCACCTGGACCAGTTGTAGATCCCCCTACCGTTTTGATTGGATTCTGACTCCTGGACCAAAACTGGAGGATCAGGAGCTGTTTGTCCTTTTTGAGGAACCTTTGACTCTGGCTATTAGTTTTATGCTTAACGTCGGACAAAGATCCAGGAGGCGGGTACAGGTGTACACATGTTTTGTTTTTTTAACATTGAGCGCTCGTTTATTCATTATGTGGTACGAGAGTTTCAGAAGAACTAAGAGTTTTCTTAAATAAATAAAGGAGTTATTTTATAAGCTCGCTATTGTGCATAAGTGAATCAATTTCTGTCTTTTATGTGTTTGTATGCGGGTTAAAGTAATAGTGTACTGTAAAAACCAACGCGCATTATGAAGGCGTCTTTGCGTTAATTGTAAAAAAGGGAGCGTATGGAACTAAGTATAATCTTTCGGAAATAAACGTGTTTTGTTCTTAAGAAAGTGTTTTCATATGAGTAACTTTTTTGTGTCTTATTTAAACACCCAAATGTGTCTTTGTGCTAAATTTATTAACACATCGAGACATCTTTGTTTATGAAATAAACACCACAGCGTATTTTGCCATCGATTATTAGCACCACAACGCATTCATTGAGAGTTACCAAGAATGAAAAGGCGTTAAAACACGAATACTTGTTTTACAGAGTGTACAAAAACTGTCTCCTGGATCTTTTAATCTTGTATTGTCCAGCAAGGCTTACCTGAAAGAACATGATATTATATTTGCCTTCAACAACTGAGATTTAGCAGTAAAATGTGAAAATGCAATCTGACTCTCACAAGCGATGGATGGAAGATACGTGGTATAGACCTCCATTTGCCATAAAACAAACCTATTCAGGTTTTATCCAGCCAGCCCATCTTTTTTCCTGTTTTCACCATGTAAAGCTTTCACTCTTGAAAGACAAGAAGTAATTGGCGTAAACATTTCATTGAAAAAAGGGCGAAATGTTTAGCTAATATGTCATCCCCAGACACGTCGCGCGCAGGGCGTATGTGGCAGGGGACAGACGGTTTTTGTCCCCGGCTCTTTCCCCCTTTTATAGTAGGCCTACAGTAGGTATTTATTAGATATTAGCATCAAAACCCTGAGAAAATAACACCTAAGAAATAAAAGTGTTGGACGTTGGACAGTGAGTAACCTCAGGCTTTTGATATTTTTCTCTCCCAACATCATACGCCAGTGCACCCTCCACCCTGACACCAAATGCTGGATACGCCGCTGCTCGGCGTTCTCTTCATAAAAACATGAACAATCACGCTGTTGCCACGGTAATAAACACTAATGGAACATCCGATGATGATTGAAGCAACGCGTGGTGTATACCTTCTGTGCATTATAGTTCAAGATCCGCTGGTTTACCCTTCAATACGCATGCACGTGTCGGAGTACACTCTTTTCTCAATTACCAGTTGAAGAGAACGCTTGAACAAAACAAAATTGACTCCCTTAGGGAAAATCTTTATCTAACAAACTACACATTTAAATAATAACATTTNGACTTTCAATTTAATAACAAGAACACAGACACGTAATCTGATTATGCGCTGAGACAGTAGCAGTTGACTTTTGATTAAATTACAATCAAAACCCCAAACGAACTAACAAAAAACAGACACAATGTTTTTCAGACGAAAGCCAAAGTAAGCGGATGAGTCGCTATTACCAGTATTCTGGCTGAACTATTAAACAATTTGGGGGCTATTACAATTTCTTTGTTTTTGAGTTTTGTGCTTTGAATATCGTTTGCTGTTATGTCATTCCTCCAAAAGACAATTCGTATTGATTAAGTGCATTTCATATTTTTCCTAGTAATTGATTCCAAATATTATGCACGTCTGAGTTACTCTACGACTTGAAGGTTAAGGAGTCCGTTTTGTTGGTCTAATTAGAAAATGAAATAATCTTTATCTCTCTAAACGTTTATAATGTTTCACTTTCCTCACCAGGGAAGAAGTCTTCTGATGTACAGTGATCGTTGGCCAAACGTTTACAAAGCATTTATTTTGATATCGCCGGGCGGAATCTGGGGAAGTGTATTGTTACTTTTAATTGGCAAGAGCAAATAATAACAATTTGTTTCACGTACCTGAGCCATAAAAAGTTGTATGAAGAATATAAGGTAATTTTAGGTTGATCTAGCAACCTCTTTCCAAAGAGGTAAAAACAAAAAGAAAGCAAACAGCAACCACTGAGTGACCTGACTGAAAAGAAGAAAGGAACTCATGCGACATGAAGAGGTTGGAGCTTAAAAGCAACATGTTCTGTTACCTGTTGGCAGACAGGTAATTGATGACAGGCGAACATACATGCGAAGGCCTATTAAATAAATCCACTCACCAGGCACATTACGACCAGTTGTGATAGAATGCACTGAGTCAGATATGATTAAGAGTTTTGTGTTTAGGTTTGACAAACAAAAAGTTATTCCTCGGGTCAGGTGATGTTTTTCATCAGGCAGGGTTCGACAAAATTTATCTCACATTATGTACATTGTTATGTCACCTTAAAAATACCTTTCTTAAGCGATGTTCCCATTGGTCAGCGAGAAAGAATAGAGATGGTTTTAAGGAAAAGCCCCCTAAAATACACTTTCCCCCAAAGTTATAGTAAGAAACATCTTATTTTGACAACATGCCATTAAAATGGCATGGCAGTAAAATATGAATCAGGCTCTCGAGACCATAAGGTGCAATTTTATTTAAGCGGTATGTATTTCAAAATGGCATAAAAAAATCCTTATAAGTTTAGCACCACATTACTTACCATGCCATTTACCATGTATTGCGACAAAGGTCAACATAATTGGCCCACACATCACAAACAAGAGTCACGCGCTCTCTTCATTAAAAAAAGATTAAGGAGTCAAACTGTTACCAGGGTAACCGGTAAACAACCGGCAGTTACTGATAGAACATGCGACTGCATCACAGTAGGCACCTACATGTACTTGGTTACATTAAATTAGTGGCCATTAATCTAATGTCATCTGATCAGAGTGCCCGACTGAATAAGAAACAGTGGAATTAATACAGGGGTGGGGACACGTCCCTCCAGTGGATGCTCGTCCCCCCCCCGTGTCCCCGGGAAATTTAGCACCATTACGCCACTGATAGAAATAATTAAATTCGATAATTTAGCTCAGCTTATAGGAACCACAGGAATATTTGTAGTACATGAACAATAAATGTAGCGTTCATTTAGTTTTACAATAAAGTCCATCTCAAGGAGCGTGGGCAAAATTTATCACAAAATAAATTTGATGCAATTTCACCAAGAGAGTGTGTTCCACGTTGAGTTTAATTGTTTGCCATTTATCTCCTGCCCTCTTTGCCAAAAAAAATAAATCAATCAAAATTTAATTACAAGTTACAAAATCTTAATGATTGAAGCTATCTTGTATCAATTTTAACGAGTGTAAAATCCACTCACTAATTTTAAAGAAAATATTGAAAAGTGACAGTGAAGCTCTTGATAAAAACTGAACATTCAACCTCGTTTCTTGAAATAGTTAAATTTTATTGAGGCATATTTCATAACATTGCATGATTTAGCCAACTAACAGCAACGACAATCCCAAAATCAAACTTCTTACAAAGTACACGAGAAGCTGTTTGAATATATAAAAACTGAAGATACTACATTTCAGTTTCAGAAAAGTGTTTTGATTTTTTACAATATTACAAAACTGTTGACATTGTTTCAAAAAACTACGTAACCGTAATTACAATGAAAAATGTATATTTGGCACAAGGATAAAAATGCACACACTAAAGCTAAAATAGATACATTTACAATGTCATCACTTCATAAATTCCTTAAAGGACTCAGGAAATGAATTCTTCTTAGAATTACTTTTTGTATCTCTCTGTTCTGTTCTTCTAAGTATGAAGACGGTTAGACTTTTTTAGTTACGTGAACTGAGCGGTGCACTTTTTCCAAACATAAAAATATCGCCCAAGCATTTCTGGACAAGTGAGGGCGCTTTTGCTTTATTGTAAATCCAGGAAGACACAGTTCAGGTTGCATGTTTTTATGTTTAAAATGTGAATTTGCTATCTGGGAACATTTAGCTGAAAAGGATGTTTGCTTGATTATTGCCATATACTTTTGCCAAAGAAAATGAAATTTGCCACAGCAGTGGTTAAATAAAATCTAGAAATTTGGATGACATTCATAGTTCTGCTCATGAAAATGCAAATTTCATTAACATAAAAACCAATGAAGCATCAAAATATATGTTAAAATCAAATCTAAGGTTAATTGACACTCAAAAATGCAATTTCAAGGGCTTTTACTAAAATTTATAAAAACATTTCTATTTCCTGGTTCCTTTAAACAGAAATACACATTGCTAATTTATCACTTTACTCCAATATATAATACACAGCAGATATTTATAAATAATTTTGGAAAGTTTTACATTTAACCTGATCAAAAGTATTAACAGTTCATACTCAAATTTGGCAATTATTCACCAACTGTAAGCCCCAATGAACTAGAGTGTCTTACCCTGCTAATTTTACAATCTGCAATTATTTTATCCAAACCAGGCCTTCAGCTTTTCTCATTTGATTTCAACAATATTGCCTTGTGTCATTTGTTACGAGATGTACATCAGGCCAACACTGGGCCCATTTAAAAATAACCAACATCTTTGACACAGGGGAGTGAGGAGTTCATGCATCTTCAGATATGAACAGTTACGGAGGCAGAATACTCAACTTTTAATTGCCCCTTTTCCGTGGCAAATTTCTGCAAAAAAAACCTTTCTTAATCTAGCAAGAAACCAACATCAAACTCTTCTTTGATTGATAAAGCAACGGAGTGGCCATCAGGGGCTAGGGGTGCATCCCTCCAAAGAACACTGTCACCCCTTCCGGATCCCCAGTCACCCCAGGGGACATTTGGACAATAACATTATAATTAACTACGAAAACACTGGGACTAATTCACTCACTCTCCATGTAACATCCAGCTCCCACATTTGCCCCCCCCCCCCACAGTGAGAACCCTGGCTATGCTGTAGTTGCCTGGCTCCGAAATCACCAGTCCTCAAAAAAACAACCCTGACAGAATCTATATCCATAGCATCAGGTATTCTTTTTAAGAAAGATGAATATATAGCATATATAGCTGTCCCAAAGATTTAGAGTGCTAAGGTTCTTTACAAAAACACCTCTCACCCCTTGAGTGGATATCTCATATGGTGCCGCTGAGAATGCTGTCTGACACATAGCTATGGTCACCAGACAGCCCTTCATCAAGTCCTGCACATTTTTCATTTAATGCACCAACACAAACCAAGATCCAAATATTCCCCCTCCGCCCCCCCAAAAAGAAAGATAGAAATGAAAAATGATTCTGTAAGTCAGGTTGTTTCTAGCGATACTGATAAATATCCAGCTTGATGCAACACAGTGCACCTAGGCCGTCAGCAAAGTACAGATACAAGTCCCTGTCGTCTGCCTTCCCCTCCCCGTCTCCTCCTGGGTCTCTCAGGTAGACCGGTAGGAAACTGTGATGGCCCCCACCTATGAACGGATGGATGGCAATGATGTCGCCGTCCATGTCAAACCAGTAGAGGCTCTCTCGGTAATACGGACTCGACTCGTGACGGCTGGAGATTGTAGCCGAGACTACAAAGCCCGCTGTGGATGTTAAAGGTGTACAACACGGATCAAATGTCGTTGGACGTTGTTCATCAGCATTAATGCATCATATACATGAGAACTGGAAAATGCTCAATGTATGGACTTCTTTCAAAGTAATAACAGTGCAAAAACAGTACTACTAAAGGATTCAAACCAGCAACATACAGTGTAGTGTATTAACAGACCTCATACATAGTCCTAATCGAGAGCCAAACTCTCAATATTCCATTCATCATTGCCTGTCAGAATCTCTTTTTGCTTACTAGGCCCTTACGGGAGGATCTGTGCACAATTCAAATATGCTAGCACACTGTGCTACATGCACATTTACAAATGAACAGATGCCAACACACATACAGGCCACCTTTGACTTGCTCCTGGAATTTTAGTGGCAGCCAAGTATGTTGAGGCATGGTTATGTAAATATAACATGATTTATTTGGGTGCATGGATAGTTAACTTCAGCTCCCCCCTAGTATATGAAGTTGACACGTTGGTTCTCTTGACTTCAACTAGGGAACTTCAACAACCTAAAATACAGTCCATCTACCCTCAAATCACGCTTGAGTTGTATGCTATTTGCTTTACCAAGATAATCACTACCTTGATACCCAGGCTGGTGTACACAAATTAAACTGGCTGTGACTAACTGAGCCCAGTCTTTGGAAACCTATACTATAAAGGCTTTGTTTCTAACCGTTTCAGTGGTACAAGTGGGCATGTGTATTTGTTCCCCATAAAAAAATTCACAATGATGAAGTAGCAATGAAGTATCCCTGCTGCATATGGAACTTGGAAGGAGGGTGCCCTGTGCTTTATTTCTAGGGCATGACATATATATTCACACTGTGTTCTCAAGTGTGGTCCAAGACCACGCCGTGGTGTGGTCCAAGACCACGCCGTGGTGTGGTCCAAGACCACGCCGTGGTGTGGTCCAAGACCACGCTGTGGTGTGGTCCAAGACCACGCTGTGGTGTGGTCCAAGACCACGCTGTGGTGTGGTCCAAGACCACGCTGTGGTGTCGTCCAAGACCACGCTGTGGTGTGGTCCAAGACCACGCTGTGGTGTGGTCCAAGACCAAGCTGTGGTGTGGTCCAAGACCACGCTGTGGTGTGGTCCAAGACCAAACTGTGGCGTGGTCCAAGAGTTGTGGGAAAAAGCACAAGCTTTTCAGGTGGGATTTGGACCCACAACTTCTTTCTTTCAAATGATTACATGTACTTGCCATTCCCGATGCTGCACAGTGTACTGAACTTGAGTCAGCCACCCAATTCTGGCAAACTTGATAGTCCAACCTGCACTAGTAAGCAGGAAGTCATGGGTTCAGGTCCAACCCCAGCAAGCTTGGGGTTTTTTTGTCTTGATTTTGTGTTTTTTTCTGGCAATGCTAGGACCAAACTGAAAATACTGAGTGAGTCTACTCATTAGTGTTGGGGCAAAAGTTAGTCAAAAAATCCAGAAACACACCACAACAATCCAGGTGTTGCTGAGAGTTGGAAGAGCCAAGACAGCTATAGAGCTAAAGGTTTGACATTCCTGAAACTACATGAAAGCTGAAAGAAGATCCAATGAAGCTAGATTTTAAATTGAAATGTTTTGTCAGTCAATGTGTATAAAATGTAGGCACTTGTAAACAAACATAACAGGAGTTGTACGTTTGTGATTTCTGAAAAAACGAGGTTTGAACATTTACCTTGTTTGCTGAGATAGCATAGCTCCTTAGGCCTCCCTGGTACCATCACATCCTTCATTTCCAAGACATCTGGCTTCTGCTCCCCTTTGAGAAGGTCACCCTCACTGTGGAAGGTTAAGGAAAACAAGTTTAACAACAGGCAACTGGCATTCTAGTGGACCACCTGCCAGTGGCATAGCTAGGATGTTACTGGTGGGGGCACAAAGGGGCACCAGCATCTGGGGGGGGGCAGCAGCTTTCAGTGGTGTGTTTTGGGGGGCATGTAATTGTAAGCCTTGTTCAATATCCATTCCTCCATTTTTTTCAGTAGGGGGGCAGCTGGGGGGCACCGGGAACCCCTGGCCCCCCATGGCTGCACTACTGCCACCTGCCGAATCTACAGGTTTTATGTTGTGTACCGAGTTCTGCATCTCTGTGGTTGTACTCTCTAGCAGAAGCATTTATTGCATTGTAATCGATTCTTGTGATGTGATTAATATTCTTCTTTCATGCAACTGACCATCATTTCACCCAATTTGACTCAAATTTCGAGAGTGAAAGCAGTGAAGTGTATGATAAAATTTTAATTTGATAAAATGCTAACCAAGTTTGCATGAATAAGGCTGGAAGTGAATGCTGAAGTCTCTCCCAAGCCCATTTCAGGTAAAATATGACCATTTTCCTTACTCCATTTTGTGTCTTCTGAGTAGAAGTACATGATTGTCCATGCCAAGGAAGGTTCGATTACCCTGTTCAGTCCCGTCAATCCTTGTCATCACTTCATTCGTGCTCAACACCTTGAGGTAGTCTATGGAAACAAATATAATGATAAATTGCATATTTATAAGTATGAGTGCCTCGGGCAGTTTGCTAATTCCTATTAATAGGTTTGTGGCAGCACCATACAAACATATATCTTCTGTGAGTATGTGTGGTTCTGAAAAGAAACGGAGGATATCCAACGTTTGAGACGGTATGTTTTGTCTGTCAGGTGACTCCCTCATTTGCAGTTGGATTGCTGGAACTGTCTGTACAAGGACTGAGATATATTGCCAAAACACCGGAGGGTGAGAAATTTGTGCTGCAGCTTCCTCTTAAGGAGAGGTGTGGGGTCTTTCTGGAATACGCGACAGTAGTTGGAGTTGAAGATGTCTGCCACCTTTGTGATCATACTCAGCCTTGTTCATGACAATCATGGTGTTTTCCTTGTCTGCTCGGAGGATATGGATGGACTTATCTTGGTGGGGTGGTGTGATGGCTGACCGATCTTGTCTTGAGAGGTTGGGCTTGGCTGGCTTGCGTTTCTGGAGGTCTTGTCTGATTTGCAGGCAGATCGCATTGGCTCTAGTATTGTCGAGATGGCAGAGGGTAGGCTCGGTGCATTGAATGATCTCTTGAAAATGGGGGACCAAGGCAAAGTTCATGCCCAACAATAGAACTTTCATCTACAGAGAGGGTTCATTGGCCCAGAATAGGTACATGTACGGTGTACTTGGTGAAAGATTTCCTTGGGGGAAGATGGGGTTTGATGTGATTTCAGCTGGGTTAGGAGCTTTGGGATATAGAAGATCCCATGTGCTGGGTCGGGGGCGGTAGGCGTAGTGATATGGGTGAACCCACTGGATTCCTTGAAGGTATGGTCACTGGAGGATGAGGTGAGCTGCTGCATCTTTTCATAATCAGCTGCGGAAACG